CTGGGCTCTACGGTCTCTGTCTACTTCATGCTAATAAGACTAAAGAAATCTTTAGTCTAACTGAGAATCAGGATCAGAATTTGTCAGTTCACTATGGCATGGATTTTTCATTTCAAATAATCTAGGCCAAAAAGTGCATCTTTTTTGCTCCTGAGGCAATTACTTATAATTAGGTTATTCCCAAGTGAGCCTCACTATTACTAAGTTTTCATTGTTATCAGATTCTGTTTTGTAATATGGATCTCATTTTTGGAAATACTATTTCTCATTTTTCATTTACTTATTCTGAATAGGAAGTAAAGTGATTCTCTTTTCAGAATAAGCAGCAGTGGAAGTATGTCTGTATTGGTAGTTGTATTCTACAGACAGTATTTTTATAAATATAGTCCTGTGTAAAATGTGTAGTATATGAGAAAATTGGATTCTTAGCTTTTTATTGCACAAGATTAGCTTAAATTACTTCAGTGACTCAAAAGAATAGAGTTTTGATAGTCAGTGACCAGATTCAAATTAGTACCCAATAAAAAAAGTACATGTATTCATTTCTAGTTGAGCTAAGAAAAGCTTAGTCTTACAGTAGCAGAAGATGAAAATGCATTATGGAGATAAGCAGTCGACTTCTTTAGGCTAGATAAAATGTACTGAAAGGAAAGACAGAAGAATCTGTGTATGTCAAAGACATTGTCTGACTCTACCTCTTCTGGACTGCAAGTGCTTAGCTGTGATTAGAAGTAGTGTCAATGAAATATGAATTCATTGTAGCATTTCTGACCATATTATACTGTATCTGCATGGTGTTTCATGTAACCCTTCTTTATCTGAACCAGAAGCATGAAAGAAATTAGTAAAATATGAGGATAAGGAAAGAGCTTGTACTATGCCCTCTACATAATAGTAATATCCTCGGTACAGCTTGTACAGTAAGGTGACATTGCCATTAGGGTCTTTCTCTGTAAGTCATTTGCACTTCCCAAACTAAACGTATCAAAGCTTAATGTAATTGTTACCTGGCGTGCTCTTATTTTGGGAAGAGTGATCTAGGTCCTGAGCAACCTGATCTAGTTGGAGATATCCCTGTTCCTTGCAGGGGGGTTGGACTAGATGGCCTTTGAAGGTCCCTTCCAGCCCTAACGATTCTATGATTCTATGATTCTATTGCAGACGTAACCAAAATGAGGTTATAAATACAGTGCTAATATTACTAATATTTGCTTGATACTACTTATAGTACCCATCACCTAAGAATAATGAAGCACTGACAAACCGTAAGTAACATCAGAACATCCAGCCAGAGAGTGTACTTTTCCTAATTAGTGTGGAAAGTCAACGGCTGCACAAATCATTAATTTGGTCAGATCACACAGTGAGTAGGTGCCAGGGATGCAAGTGAGAAGCCAGAAATGCTGACTAGTCCTTTCTGAGATCTAGAGAGCACTGCCAAAGTCCAACCTGAAAAAAGACAACCCATTTCTTCTCTCTGTGCTGTGTAAATACTTGAAATACTTTCAAAACTTCTCCTGCTTGGCTTTGCCTAATAGAAGAGAGAAGGTACTTTGACAGTATGGTCTTTCTCACCTAGCTGAAATGAGGCATCAGTGAAGAGTATGTTTGCAGATAGATGTGAGATCTCCTATACAGCTTCAAGACAAAAGGAGTTTTGCTGAGCATTGGCACAGTGAGCTTAGCCAGTGAGTGCATAGATTTTGGGACTGCTACTTCTCTTTCTGTTGGAAGCTCTCAGAGCGTTTCACAGACTTTAGTGACTGAAGCTTCTCAAAGCGTTAATGACATTCCTAACTTTATAAATAGAGGGTAAAAAAGAGAAACATTGGGGCTGAGTGACACCCCAGTGACACAAATGAATCTCAGAGACCTTAGTTTCTGATCTGGCAGACGCATAGGTAGGAGCCTTCGTTTTTCAGATGAGCTGTCCCATTGAACTGAAAAAGAAATGCATGTGAATAAAATTGAACACATACGTGTTTAAAAGATTAATCCTAATTTCAACCATTAATTTCTCTCCCCTCCCTCATGAATGCCTTTTCAAAAAAAAAAAAAAAAACACAATTTTGAGATGGTTTTAAATCACTTAATTGGTCCATTTTGTGGAGTTGGATTTTAATATAGGTAGCATTTTATTTAAGTCTACATGGATGTCACTTGTATTTTCTCTAAAGCATTGACCATATAATAGATGTGAAGCTAGACTTCTGAAAGGCACAGTGCAATCTTTTAACCTTTAACCAGTTTAACCTTTCAAGGAACCCAGGGCAGTTTTAACTGGCTATGTTATTATCTAAAAACATTTGTTCTTCAAATATTGATGTTCTTCACAAAGTGGAATAACATTTAATTATTTTTGGTGTGTAAAGTAATAAATGACCTTGTAAATGAAAATCGAATGCAGAGACAGGTACCAAATGTTTGCTGACTATAAACACCATGCTAACTCTGGGTGAAACATTTCTTGTTATGTAGACTAATTTTCAAACCACATTTGTTCTATTTATTAGATTTAATGGCTTAGACATGTTAAAGATAGGTAGTTACTTTCCTGAACATGAACTACTTAGGATGACTAATTCACAAACTTTTATTGAAGCATCATTTTGATTTCATTTGATCTGGAAAAGAAAATCCTGATGACATTTTTTCTATGGATTTCGTCTGATGCTACAATTCAATAGTTAGTAATTACATAGAAATTCACTTGACACTTGAAATAAGAGCTTATAAGAATCCATTCCTAGAAGGAAGTAACTAATGAACGAAATCATGGTATGTAAAACTTTATTTTTTTAGGAATTAGGTAGGAATTAACCACTTTTGGTTTGGTGTTTTGGTTTTTTTTTTTATTATTATTATTTGTGAAGTCATTAAAGATTTTTGATTAATAAAAAGGTTTATTTGTTTCCTCAGTTTGCCAGATCAGAAGTGTTAAGTGTTAGTTTTAGTTTTGCATGAGGAACTAAGGGAGAACTCAGGGATATTAATAATGAATCCTAGAAACCTAACTCCAGCAGTGAGTGTGGTGAACCTTGAGCAGCTATCTTATCATTCTAAATTTTATTTGGTTATTAGAGCTTTGTAACTTGCTATAAAATACAACACAATTTTAGTAATTTTAAACAATCTGATTCAAATTTGTTTCTTCTCCCAGCTCCCCCCTTTCATCCTGTGTTGCGTCATCCGTTCTTGAGTGTAAGGCTTTCAAGCCTTAGACTTGCTAATCTGAAGCCTAGCCAAAAACCTTGTCTACTTCAGCCAAAAAAGGCACAAAAGAGTAATTTCTAACATACAAAAATATCAAAATTACAGCTGAGAGAAAAATAAATTCACCAAGGACTTGCTCATGAAAGTCCTCATTTTAACCTTAGAGATTCATGTGTATACTGTGTGTACCATGTGTGTATGTAGATATACAAGATTTTCGAAACAGAGTTGCAGTTTTCATTAACCTACACATGATAGCCTAAAGCAGTTTCCAAAAATGTGGATGTATCTTGTGTTCTGCACTGTGATTTAGACTGTCAAGTAACACACGCTTACATCTGGCAATGACATGCCAGTTTTGCAGCATTATGTCAATCCCAATACCAGCAGCTTGAAAGTTGTAAAGGAAAAATACTTCCTAAAATTAATACAGAATATTTGAATTACTCCAAATAATATTATTTCTGTGTTTGAGTGCTGGCCCCCAGACTGTTTTCAGGGCATTGGTATTTTTCCTTTGGAGAAAAGTAGGAGCAGAAGTTCCTTTCAGTGTTACGCAGACACTGGGTTTGCTCTGCTCCCTTATGGAATAATTACTAGCGATTAAGTGCTCTTGGTTTTCATCCTGCCTCCTTACCAGTTATGTAATGTATAGTTTAGCAAAACTCTGAAGACTGTTTAGAGTTACTGGCTTTCTGTAAAGCAAACAGCTAAACACTGGAGTTGATGCAAACAAGGCACTTAGCATCTGAAAGAAGTGTTAACACTTTATTTACATTTAAATTAAAATGGACACTTATTTATGTGTTCTGGTTCTGAAAGGTGTGTGGTACATCTGCAGAGGCCTATTGTTTATTCATGCTGTAAATCCTTTGAAATGTGTTAAAATGCTTCCCACTCATTATAAAAATCCTGCCACCCATGGATTAGGGCTTTGATGTCACCAATCCTGCTTCAAAGGGTTCTTTCAATGCTATTAATCACAGTTTAGCCTCTGAAGATATAGCCAGAGAAAACATTTGGACATCTTGTGCTAGACTTGCTAAAACTTTGAAATATACAGAGTGTCTTGCATATGCACAGTCCCGTATCACTTCCTCTCTCTTCTCTCAGCCTTTATTTTGAAAAGCTATTTTGTGATGACTTTGGCTTCCTACAAGTACAGAACAAAAAGTTTAGGACACATCATACTGTACATTTTTAAAAAGGCACTCCTCTTCCAGTTGACACCACAATATGTTTTTCCCTGAGGAACTGAGTCAGTCTTTAAAAACCCCAAGGGACAATAAGATTGGGGATTAAGCAGGCCTGTATGTCAAAAGGTCAAAAAAAGATACCGTCTTATCATTTTCTCATCTCTTTCATTAGTTCGTGAGCTTAAGATGCTGCCAAAACACTTCAGGATCCACACGATTTCATAGAAACAAGATAATTTCTGCTGTCTTTTTCTCTTTTAAATCTCTCAATGCGTCACAGAGAAATTGATTACTAGTGATTGAGCTGTATGCCTTTGTGCTGTCGTTGTTTTCATCAGCTCAGTAGCTAAGGTCAGTGACATACCACCTTATCACTGACTTTTTCCTCCCTTTTAAATCAACACTGCACTCTGTCGTGCCCGTGCTGAATGCTTTGCAGGCACAATTGGTAATGAGCGGGGTGTGGAAGAAGCGTGGTGGTGTCTGCTATTTTTAGTGCTATTGTGCAAGCTGATTTTCCACCATATACGTTTTTCCCTGCTGAGCTTCTTGAACAGTTTTTGCAGTATGTATTTCTTTCTTTTTGAACAGGTAACTTGGCACAGGCAAGAGCCAGAGTGACAGCAGCATCTAGGTCTTTGCCTCCACAGCTTAGTGCTGGCCGTATCAAGGTTAGTAGTATTCCCTTTGAAGGCAGGCAATTGTTCATAAAATATTGCAGTGAGACTATGGGCACGATGCTCAGCTGATACAGGTGGATAGTGAGGTTCTTATCAAATGAGAGTCTGCCTTAATATCAGAAGACATGCACCTCAGTTGGGAGCACTGTTTCCAGTTTTAGTGAGGACTCTATTGTAGAATCCAGTGAAGAATCAATTTACTACTAATTAATCTTCAAACTTATGGAGTGAAATCTTAGTAATTGATATTGATAGCCATGTTCCTTTTGATTTCAATGGGGTCGAGATACTTCCTCTGGCAATTTTGGCCTAGAAGGAGATCTAATTAGGAAAACTTTGAATAGTGTGTTTAACAGTATGAAAGGCAAAACAGAAAAATAATCCATTCCTTTTTTATTCAACTTTTATTCAGTGAAAAAGCAGGGGACATTTGATAGATGACCAGTAAAGAACAACTCGGCAAAACCACTGTTCTTTAAAAAGCATCACTGTAGAACTTAAATGCTGCTGGATTTTGCGATAAAAGTATGTGGCATAATTGCAAAAGTATGGGATAATTTTATGGCAGTTAATAGGATGTGTTGCCAACCGAGTGCACTTAATTTGTGAGGAAAACTCTTGTGCCTCAAGCTCATAGCATGTACACTCTCTCCCTGCTTCCTCAGTAGTACTGTTAGAGTTACCTTAGTTAAGGGTTTGAGGGGTTTTTTTTTGCCTCCAAAGCAGATAATAATAATTTTTAAAAACAAATATGGTAACAGCAAGTGTTAAAAAGTCTAAAGAGTTTTATATTCTGGGTTTTCTATTTCTTGTTATTCTCTCCTCTTATTAGGAGCTCATGCTCAAATGTTAATACAGTAATTCATGTCACCAAGACATCTATATCCTTCACTGTACCTGCACACACAGATGTGGATTTCAGAGATTTATTTCCTCTCTAGTATAAACATTTCCAGTGCTGAAGGCCAGATAATGGTCTTTCCGATTTTCTTGTATTATACACACATTGTCTTCCACATCCAACTATATTCAGCGTAAGCTTTCTAAGCATGCATTTTATTAATGCAGCTGGAATGGAATAGAGCAGTTATCTTTTAAAGCTTTAATAAAAACAGTTATACTAAGTAGTGTTTAAGTGATTTTTACTCACCCTTCAAATTTTTAAAGAAGAAGCTAAAAGACATGCATAAGTGCATCACTATTAAGAAAACGTTAATTGAAATAGTTTTTAGCTGAAAAAAATCTTTCTTATAATTTTAGAAAACTTCTAATTAAAACAACTTCAGGAAAAAGATTTTAAATTACTATTTTACAATTTGTTTAAAAAAAATCCAAATGTAGTAATTTTGTTTGGAAGTTTGGAAATTTTCATTTATTATTTAATTTATGAGCTTTTTTGCTAAACATATTTTTTGGTTTTACGTATTTTGTACCATGCCAGCAGCAGGTGTGGTCAATATGTGAAAGTAATAATTTCCAGTGACTTCATGAGATGATATGATGTCATAAATCATTCTTTTGATATTTTTTCAAAACTATTATAAGCAATTTTTTTTAGTGATGGAACAGCTTGTCTTTTCTAGATCAAGAAACGACAATAAAATTCCATTTTATTTGTGATCGTATAAATGTATATTGTACGTCACTACTACTGTCATGTAAAAATGTGACTTAACTGTTGAAATATTCTTCATTTTAGTGTTAAAAGAGTAGCTAGTGATTTAAAACACAAGATTATATCATGACATCCTTATTATGTTATATCATTTTCTGGCAAGCCAGTTGTAATAAAGCCTATTGCCTGTTGTATATGTGATTATTGCCCTACCATAAAACTGCATGGTTTCATAGACATGCAATGTTATAAATTAACCAGAGACAAAACTTCTAAAAATTCTTACAGGAAAGTCTCCCTAGCTTCAGGGTCTATCAGAGTTTTTCTAATGGAAACTTCGAATATTTCTTCTCAAAAAGACTTGGAAATTGATCCTAGTCCTTACAGATTGCACAGATCTGAATTTACAACTCCATCCATAGAAAAAGAAATCTCATGATACTGGTTTTACTCTGATTTTCTGAGAAAAAGTGTATTGCATCTACTCTGTGAGTGTTTCTGACCATCTGTCTTTCTGTGTGTTCGTTCCCTTCCCCCAAAAAGCAAAACAAACCAAAACAAACCCCTTTTGAACCCAGCAGGCTGTAGTAAACCATATTTGACAGAGTGGCAATCTCAAAGATTGTAAGATTCTACAAGTTTGGTGAAAATAAACAGCTGGGAAAAGGAGATGCCTACAGCATCCTACTGCCAGCATAAGCTCACCCTTTATTGGCCAGCAGTTATTCCAGATATGACTGAGAGCTTGTTAAGTGTTGAGCCTCGAACAACAATGTCACTAAGAGTCTCTGCTTTAATGGACAGACAAGAATCCCATTTAGAAGCTCAAATTCATGGACATTTGGGCTTCAGTGCAGTCCTCTATTTGCTTTTGTTCTTGATTTGGTGTTCTTTATGATTAAATTGTCTGTCTTCTCACATTAAATGTTAACAGTTATTCTGAACTTACTGCCAATATTCACACGTATGGCTTTTGTCTTCTACCTGACCTTTATTAGAGATTTAGATATCAATTCTCAAAAAGCAGTTGTCTTGCCAAGATAGTTTTGAAACATTCCCATATCCTTCCCCATGGACTTGCCTGCTGTTCTGATTAGGTCATTGGTGTTTACTTTGTCAAATGACCTCTTAAAATGTTTGATGTTATCTGTGCTGATAACACAATGCTGATCTGCATTTTTCCTGGGATATATTACAGAGTTTTTTGTTAACATCCTTAAAACTGAAACCAAACTGCATCTTTTTTCTTTTTTTTTTTCTCATGTGTTAGTTTGAGATGCGTACTTATGCATGTACACTACTCTGGGCTAGAACATCACAGATTACAAAAAACATAGTGAAATTTTTATGGTCACCCTTATGGAAGTCTGTCTTCCTTTGCACCATCTGTATTCTGAATCTAGTCTTCACAAGTTTTCCTTTGATTTCTTCCCCAACACAAAATCCATTTTCTTCATCTATTACTACTTACTGCTTCATTTCCTTTATATTTTGCATGCAGTCTCCTAAATATCTCCTGAAGGTAAGAGACACGATTGCTTTATTGAGAACTGAAATCTTTCAGCAATTACTTTTAGTGTTCAGAAGAGTGGTCTTAAGTCAGTGAGCGTTGGAAGTGATCGTATGGAGCAAGGTCCAGGAAGTGTAGCACAGGTGCTGACAACAGCATTATCTGGTTTATACAAATGCCACCTGGTCAGAGCAGATGGTTAACTGCCACAAAGCAAGTGAATGCTAAAATGTTGTTAAAGCTCCATGCAAACAGGATGCTGGTTGATTTTCTTTAATTTTGTTGAGCTGTAATACAGCAACACAATCTGCTTGTGATTGGTAACCATGGTTATACTCATTCATAAATTCTGCTTTCATTTTGATAAGAACAGCTGTACTGACAATATAGCTAAAATATACAGGGAGCAATATGTTTGCTGTCCATGTATACCCTCTAAAAATAACTCTTGTGAAATGCTGAAAAAGCAGTATTTGAAGCTATGGCAGTTCAGCAGAGTAAGATTGCTGAAATTCTTGGCATCAGAATGGCAATGTAAAGTAATAGTAACCACCACAGCAAAAAGGAAAAGACTTAAAACATTCTGAGATGACCTACTTTGTCTGCCACTTGTTATTCGACAACAACATTTTTTCCATATGTGAGCAAAATGAAGCAGCTTTTTGCTACTTTACTTCCCAGTCATTACAAAAATGGTAACTCTTCTTCTATAGAAAATGAAGACCTGATGGAGTTTGTTGTGCTGGTGATAAGAGGAATGCATTTTAGAAATCAGTTCATAAGGTATTGCATCCTGACAGCTGCCTCATTGGCCTAGCGTTACGCCGTCATAACAAAAGTGTGAAATCATTCTGAACACTTACAGCTCTCTGTGAAATCAGTGCATGTCCTGCATCTGTTGGAAGCTGGCCTTCCGACCTCTCATCAAGTACTCTGAAGTATTCACACCTGAAGGAATGACCGTAGCAAAAACTGAACCCAGATTTCACGGGTGAGGTGGGGTGGGTCTGCAGTGTTTCTGGAACAGCTCCGACATCTGAGTTTTGTCTTCCAGGTTGACACGATGGAGATTATGCGACACCCCGAGGAAACAACTAACATGAAGCGGCAAACTATGGCTTCCTATTTTAGGGTACAAAAGTTACATAGTAAACAAACATTTTGGTGATAAGAACAATAGATATATCTAAAATATTTGTGGGATTGTGAGATCAAAGAGAATAATAAGAAATTTTTTTTATTCTGTTGTGTGGCCTTTATAGCCTTATAAATTTTCTTTGCTCCTTTTCTTTTTGTTTCCTCATACTAGTACTTTTATATATATACTATAGTTTTATCATTTCACCAATCATATTGGTAACAGAATCTAGACTATTTCCATCTAAAATGCTGGAGGTCTAAACCAGAAGAGAAAACTGATTTTGGGCAAATAAAATAGCTGTCATTACTAAAGCCTTCATGTTTTTTCAGACGCTCAGGCATACCTACTTATAAAGATTAAGATTTGTCATTTGTGCTAATAAATAAAAACAATCCATCTTTTGGAAGTACTGTTATAAATCGTACAGTTCGCTATTTTATCAGTAGTAATCCTGTCTGGGATAATGTGTATTCTGCATGTGTGTTTAATTCAAACAGGAAAGCAAAAGACATTGAGAATGTTGGAACTGGAAGGTTAGGAGTCAGGAAACACACATGCCAATCCAAGGCTGTTTGTTAACATTTTTTTCTTGTGGTCATTGCAGAGTGGAAAAGTTTTGAGCTATTGACTCTTGGGCTGCACTTGCAACATGCAGACTGGGGAAGGTCACAGTGCAGTGCTAGCCAGCGTGGGTCAAAACTTCATGCTATGTAGGAATACCTGTTTTCTTTGTCATGCAAAATAATGTAAGGAAAGGCATATACTGAGATGTTGCCCCAGTGTGGAGGGTACAAGGACACACATTCAGACTTGTCTAGTAATATAAGTGTGGATTTAGAGTTCTCTTGCAAAGAACTATGCAGATGTCAGCTGTGTAGGAACTGGGGAAAAAAAAAAAAAAAGGTGGAGTGGGGGAGTGAGGATGAAAGTACACCGTAACATGGATGCAGGCTACAGAAAAGCGACCACAGTCAGCTTGGAATTGTACGTGATTTTGAGACTGAGTGTATTTGCAACAAATACTTATCATACAGTGGGTTCACGAGGTGATGATGGAGCAGAAGTATCAGGATTGAGAGGAGTTCTTGGAAAAGCAGGTATATATGATCTGATCACACTTTTTTCATTTTAGTGTAAAATGTAATGGAATAAATTGTTTTCCATGTCCTGGGTGGACAGGAAAAGAAGTAATGGGCCTACGTTTCAG